AACACACCGCGCCCCCCACCCACACACACACACACACACACACACACACACACACACACACACACACACACACATACAATCATTCAGTCCAGTTCACTGCTGTAACAAGCTATGGACAGAGGAAGTGATACTGTTGTATGAACATGTTTGTTTGCGTTTGCTAATGTTTGTTAATGTGTCAGGTATGTAATTCAATACTCACAGATCATGTGGACCCAAGCCTCATTTGTGTTTGCATAATGCATACAAATAAACAACCCATTTTAACCCGTGCCATTTACTCTGGCTTAACAATCACACACTCACTGGATAGAAGAGAAAGAACAAGACAGAAGAGAGCGTGCAACACACACACACACACACACACACACAAATTGGAATGGTTCTATTTTCTGTGACTCCATCTGAACTGCATTCACAGCAGATTGTGTTATATGCAGTTCTGTTATTATGGGCAAACAGCTACAACAATAAAAGCAGCAATGACAGTTCTGTACACTCACTATGAAAAAAGTAAAAAAAAAAAAAAAGACGGTCACACTTTATTTTAAGGTTCAATTCTCACCATTAACAAACCATTAACTATGACTTTTGCCTGAATAAACTCCTAATTTGCTGCTTATTAATAGTTAGTAAGGTAGTTGCTAAATTTAAGCATTGGGCAGGATTAGGGATATGCAGAATATGTGCTTTATAAGTACTAATAAAAAGCCAATATGTTAATAATAAGCATGCTAATAAGCAACTAGTTAATAGTGAGAATTGGTCCCTATACTAAAATGTTACCCACAATAGTTATTGGAAATGAGCAGCTGTTGAGTTATGACAAACCGTGTTGTCACACACACACATTACCAGGCAGTGTCCAGTGACGTCATGGCAGCACTCCACGTGTCCGTGGCATTGACAGAGTTCACACACGCCGTGGTACAGTGTCCCGTTCACCCTGCGGTAGCCCATCGCACACATCTGTGAAAACACACACAATAACTCATATTTAACACATCAACACACATGATACTTCACAAGGATGAGCGTGGTGTTTTGGGCAGGTTTGGCTGAAAGTGCATCAGTGTGTGAGCGTCTGTGCTGCCAGTAATTAATCTGTGCTGTGCTAATTGACGGATCATTGTAGAGCACAGAGTGCTTTGATTTACTAAATGAGGGAGAAGATTTGTTTCAGTCAACTGAAGCACAAGGGAAGTTTATAGAGCCGGCTGATAAATGCCTGTTCAGACAAAGCATGTCAAGTGTGTGTGTGTGTGTGTGTGTGTGTGTGTGTGTGTTCTTATTCAAATTGCCTTGTTTTGTTTCATTAATGTGTTTGAAGTTGCTCTCTTCTTCTTATATTTGAGTGATTGTTCTCAGTGTTTACTTTCTACACAGCTGTCGGCATGGAATCACAATTGACATTTATTTTGAAAATAATTCCATTATTTTTTTATATGCATGCTATTGGTCTTGTTGTGAACAATTCATTCATGCATATTTTTTATATACCTCGTAATCTTTGTAATTAAAATGTCAAAACGTGCTCTTCTTGTGAGACTGCCATTTATTTAAGCCAATGACATTCAGGTGTGCAACACTCACTGTTCACAGTCTAATCAACAACCGATGTTTTAAATTAAGTCCCAAATCCAAATTAAGTCCCGACCCCGTATATATATATATATATTTTTTTTTTCTTCTTTCTAACTCAGCCTTCACATCGGGACGATGCCTAAATGTGCTGTCTAGGTAGGCAGATCACTAGAACTGCTGACTGCAGAGATCTTACACACACATGCTGAATATGAAGTGGATATTGGAAATGACTACAGTGCTAAACATCACATTTGTTTTCCTGCTGTCTTTCAGTGACCCTGCTGACCCCGTCACTCTCAGAGCAGCCCGTCCTTCCCAACACTGAGCCGAGACACACAGGGAACATTTAAAGGGATAATTCATCCCAATACACAATACACATTCTGTCATCATATCCACCCTCCTGTTCTTCTAGACCCTGCATGACTATTGTTCGTCTTCAAAATACAAATGAAGATATTTTTAATTAACAACATTTTTGTTTATCTTCTCAAAGTCCATGCAACCAATACTCTGAGGCTTCAAATCTTCATACAGTCTATATGAAATTCATATGATTTGAGCGGTTTAATTCAAGTACTCCGCAGAGGCATGATCACATTACATGATGAGCAGATTTAATTTAGGCTTTTACACACTACTAGTCAAAAGTTTGAAATAATAAGATTTTGTTTTATGTATATATATTTCTGAAAGAAGTCTCTTCTACTTACCAAAGCTGCATTTATTTAACCCAAAAGCAGCAAAAACAATGAAATATCATTACAATTAAAAATAACAGTGAATATATGTGAAAATGAATATTTGTTCAAATGTAATTTATTTCTGTGATCACAGCTGAATTTTCAGCATCATCACTCCAGTCTTGAGTGTCGCTTGATCCTTTGCAAATCATAATAATATGCTAATAATATTCTGATATTGTAAACGTTACAAAATTATAAACAAATTATTTCTTTAAAAAAAAAAGTAATACTTACCCCAGACTTTAGAATGGTAAAGCATAACAGTTTCCACAAAAATATTGTGCAGCACAACTGTTTTCAACATCGATAATAATCAGAAATGTTTGTTGAGCAGCAAATCAGCATATTATACTGATTTCTGAAGGATCATGTGACACTGAAGACTGAAGTAATGATGCTGAAAATTCAGCTTTGATCACAGAAATCAATTACAGTTTAACAGATATTCCCAGAGAAAACAGCTATATTGAATTGTAGTAATTAGTAAAAAAATACTGTTTTTACTGTATTTTTTATCAAATAAATGCAGCCTTGGTGAGTAGAAGAGACTTCTGTCAAAAACATTTTTTTAATTATTCCAAACCTTGACTTATGGTGTAAAAATTGATCAGCACACACACAGTAAATAAAGGTCATCAAATATTTTCAATGGAAACTCAAGTGTGCTTGATGTGTGACTTGATTGTGGACTGCCTCAGTAGGAAAATCTATTTTTAAATAAAACAAACACATTTTAATTTAAAGAAAACATCTCAGGTTACGTATGTAACCATGGTTCTCTGAGAAGGGAACAAGACACTGCGTCCCTTAGAGGTCGCTTTGGGGAACGCCTTCAGCGTGACCCGTGTCTGAAGCATTCATCTAAAGACGACAATAACGCTGGCCGGCGACAGACTGTGACGTCATCACCCAGAACGACCACAGTATAAAAGGGCGCTGGGAGATCATGTCATCCGCTTCTTTGTCTGAAGCTTATGTCCGAAGCATGGCAAGGCAACCAGAGGAAGCAGTGTCTTGTTCCTTTCTTAGGGAACCATTGGTTACATACGTAACCTGAGACGTACCCTTCTGAGGGAACTTCGAACTGCGTCCTCTAGAGGTCGCTTTGGGGAACGGTATACCCACTCCTCCATGCTGAGGAGAGTGCATGCCAGAAACCACGGCGAGCACTAAGTACCAACTCTATCATACCCTCTATCATACCCATGGGAGTTGCCCCAAGGACGTCTTGATGGCTGTCAGTGACATTATCCCCTTCGGCAAAGGGCCTGAGCTGCATACCCTAAAATAACTTACCTTTTAAGGGCTGGGCTAGGAAGCCCAAGCCTAGGGCAGAGCTCAAGGCTTGGAATCAGAAGAGATTCCTTTAAGAGGATACGGCCAGATCTCTAAAAACCAAACCAGACCCTGGCCTGCCACCCAGGGGGGCTACCGCCGGTTCTGAATAAACCTGCTCAAAGAACTGACTCGACAGATCTTTGGTAGCAACACCCTGAACAGAAATGTATCAACAGAGATACATAAGTTGAGTGGAGCCCAAGGCGAGAACTGGGGCCTAGACCAACTCGGAACGAGGCTGACAACGCGTAACCCTTACCATACAGGATTTTAGAAAGTGTGCAGAAAGCTTAGCGTGCACACTTACCACAATGTGGATTTTAGAAAGTGCACAAAGCTCAGCGTGTGCACTTACCATAGCATAGCATTGATTTAGAAAAACCATTGCTTAAGCCCTACGTGACTGAGGTATGCTCATAAAACTGGATCCGAAGCATCTGCTCACAGATACCCACATAGGTATTGCACGCTTGCAAGAGGCCCTTCAGGGTGAAGGGAGCACAGCTAGCTCACTTAACAAGCAACTCATCAGGGAGGCAGGAGATGGTCCAGCCGCCAGACATGATTGCTATCCGGAGCTAAAAAAACTTCAAAAATAGAAGGGGGACTCGAACGCTCAGATCGAGAGAGGCATGCTCATGAAACCCCCAAGGGCACTGCTAAGCTTGACACACAAGGAGAACGGCTCAACAGGGAGGCGAAGAGAGGCCTAACAACCTGAGGCCGTTACTCAATGAAACTCAAACGAGCAGAGGACTCGATGAGAGAGGTCCACAAATGCTCAGTCGGGAGCGTCAGGCTCAAAGGCAACCCTCTGAGGTGAGGAGAACACTGCCTAGCTTGACCCAAATTGGGGCAGTTTATCAGGGAAGCAGCAAGCAGCCCAACAACCTGATGTCACTGCCACGGAGCTCAAGAGCGGAGGGTTCAACCCCTAGCGAGGAGAGAGAGGAATCCAGCTCGACTGAAGCGACCAATAGCCCAGGGTAGAGGACCTAACTCTCAAGTCGAGAGGAGGACTCACCCAGTTTGCCCAGGACCGGCGAGCTCAAAGGGACCCTCCCGCAGTGAGGGGAGCACAGCCATATCCGGGGAGCAGATAGATCGCAAATGGGACATCAGAAATGGGATCCTGCTAGAAGGCGATCACACATTTCTAAGGGAACAAAAGGTTCCCAACATAAAGGCAACTAACCAAGGAGGCGACAGAGATGGGCCTAACACTTAGTTAGTTGCAAATGGGTTTCTTCGGGAGCAGCGCTCTCGGCTCTCAAGCTGAGGAGGGCCCTACAGAACATACTGGGAGCGACTCATAGCTAACCCTCACAGTGAGGGGAGCACTTCTCAGCTCGACCGGAAGGGGGCGCTAGATTAGAAGGGGTAACCCAGCAGAGCCCAATAAGAGATAGTCCACTGGTGCAGCTGGACATGGTCTCCTGCTTTCTATCTCAATAGAGAGCGTGTGTCCCGTGTATCCAGACCTCGATAGTATCTGAAGAAATAGCGGGACCCAATAACCATTCATGCGTGTAGAGCTTACTGCTCCTCAGAGCAGAAGCATACAAGAGGGGTTTCCACAGAAACACAAATCCCTCTACCTCAGAGAATGCAGTGTACTCAAGACCACTCCGCAGAGGGGCGATTACTGGTTCGACCGCAAGGTCGGTGTGACAGGGAGGACCCGCGGGCCTGACCGTCTATGGAGCGTTGAGCTCCTCAGCACCTCAGCGAGAGGAGCTCTAGCTCAGAGAATGTGCATGATGGTTAAGGAATGACTCAAATCTCGGCAGACCGCTCAGGGTGAGAAATGAGTAGTGCACCCTGGCCAGTAGGATAGGGAGCATGTCACGAAGCATGTACTAGAGTACTAGCCTGTGAGAAGTACCCGCAGATCCTGAGGTTACAGCGTTATACTGGGGACCTGATGCTGGAGGGCTTCTGCAGAAGCTCAGGCTGCGTGTCCAAGCCGAAGATGAGGGCTTTCACCAGCCTGGATCCAGAACCGATGAGTGAAACCATTACTTTAATCGGTCAACAGCAGGAGGTCCTGACTTAGCAGAACAGGTCTGAGTAGCACTGCAAAGAAAGGCTAGTATCGAATACACAAGAACTAGCAGTAGAGTAGATGAAATGGATCGTACTCACCAACCATGGCTCCCGCGCATGACTCAGGCTTATGGATATAGGCTGGAGGCAAAATCAGAAGAGCACTGGGGCGTGAGTCGTGACGTCTTCTGAGCCTGCCTTTGATCCTTAGATCGAGACGGGCCAGGACCCCTTTGATGTTCGGACTCAGAC